TTAAACGGATAGGGAAGTATTCAGCCACCATTAAAATAAATTTACAATGTCTAGCATCTAGGCAGAAATTTCTAGTTATTCATGGGGAGTGATATACAGCATGTTGACTAAGTTAATAATACTTGATGGCTTATTTGAAAGTTGCTAAGAGTAAATTCTAGTCACCTCATCATACACAAAATAATGTACTTATGTGTCATGTCAGGATAACTAGATAATGTGATTATTTCTCAGTTTACAGATATAATATTGGACATTTGAGGCTAATACAATGTTTTATACCCATTAGACCTCAAAAAAAGTAGGAATGAGAGTGATAAAATTTCCAGGCAAACCAAGAGCTAGTAAATGATGATCAATGACAAGAATAGAACCATCCAGCCCAAAGTGAAAATGATATAGAAATTACAAGCAGTCTTACTAAAAATATACATGAAATCTATTAGGGTATCTATGGTAAACCTACAATGAACATCTTAGTCAATAATGAAAGGCTGAATACTTTCTACCTAGAATCAAAAATAGGCAGCCTAGCCATTCTCACTACTTCTATTTAGAATTAACTTCTACAACTAGTGCAGTGAGATGGGAAGAAGTTAGACATCTATACTAGAAAGAAAGAAGTAAAACTGTCTTTGTTTACAGATGTCATAACCATTCTTTGTAAAAAATTCTATGAAAAATACAAAAAAAAGTTACTCCTCTAATCAGTAGGTTTAAAATATTTACAGGATCCCAGGTAAAAATACAAATGTCAGTTTGTTTCTGTGTACTAGCAACGGCAATCAGAAATTGAAATTAAACTGCAATACCATTTACGGTAGTAACAAAAATTACTAAATACTTGTGGTTTACCTTGACAAAATATGTGCTAAATCTGTGTGATTGAAAAGTACAAAGTCATACACAGAAATTCAGCAAGACCTAAAAAAAACAGGGATATGCTGTACTCTTTGATCAAAAGACTCAATATTAAGGTGTCATTTTCTCCTAAATATTGATGGCTCGTGTACTAGCTAATTCATTCAAAATCCCAACAGGATTTTGTAGAAAATGACTACAAATTGTAGTGGAATTATAGTACATCCAAATGCAAAATAGTAACTGGACAGTTGAGTACTACTGTATTCTATTAGGATAGATTTTTTTGTTTAATACCCTTTGTTAGGGATATGAAATTGGAGCCTGAATACTCTTGAATTTAAAATGATACAACCTACCTTATAAAATACTTTGTAGATTTTAAAAAAATTTAAACACCTATTATTATGATACACCCAGTCTATTTATAAATAAACTGAGCAATGAAAGTATGTGTCCCATGAAGACATGCACATAAATGTTCATACCAACATTATTCATAATACCCAAACTATGCAAGTAAGCCAAATAACCATTAGAGATCATTAATAGGCACTAGATAAACAATGTATTGGAATAGATTCAAATAATAAGTAATGAATTATTGATAAATGTAATACCATGAATGAAAATCAAAATAATTATTCTGTGAGCAAAATCAGTCTTTAAAAAGGTACATGCTGTATGATCCTTCTTAAATAGAAATAGAAAATAGAAAATAAAAATTGTTATGATTGCCAGCCCCAGGGACAGGGAGGAAACTTGAGAGTGATGAATATGTACATTACACTGTTGGTAGTGATGGAATCCCAGATGTATACTATCAAAAACAAGATTACAGGTCCAAATAGAGTCCCTTATGCCAAGCTCCATGTCACCAAAACAACATTTAGTTAGTTTCATCTTGGAAATAAATTGCTAAACCAGTCAATCAGAATGACTTGATCAGCATTAGTTAGGTAGTCAGCCATCTATCGCAGCCATCCCCTAAAGAAAGGTCATCTTGGAACAACCTCACTTTTTCACTTCATGTAGCTTTCCTGTTTCTGTTCCCTTCTGTCTAAAAAGTCTTTCATCTTTTACAGTTCATCAGAGCTCCTCTCTGTCTGCTGAGTGGGGTGCTGCCTGATTCTAATTGATTCTTGCTCCAGTAATCCCTTAAATGTCTTCATATCATTTAATAGAATAAATATATCATATTTCACCAATACCATATATTAAAACTTATAAATTAATACTGTAAATATGTGCAGTTTATTGTGTTTTGCACCTCTAAATAAAACTATTAAGTCTTCCCTGCCTCTTTTTCACAGTGTGAAGTTAGCAGGATGATATTGACGACTGAAAAGAAGAAATTAGAAATAGTAGCATGTAGGTTAGAGATGTTATCTTTAAAGACAAAATCAGCTCAACGTTAAAAACACATTTTTTTCCTAGAGAAATTACTTGAGAAGTTGTTGGAGGTAGTATAAAGGGCTTCTGACGTTTATGCTTGTGGGTTTTTTTTTTTTTAATCTTATAAGACAAATTTATGAGAAAAAAAAAAAAAGAGAGACACCTGCATTTTCACAGGCAGAACTGTCAAAGGACTTGGTTTTTTGGAAGATACTTTCTCTCAAACTATGTGCATATATAAGTGAAAAATACAAATACATTGTTTTAAGGTGGGTAAGGAAAAGAGTAATAGAACAAGTCTATGCGAGCTCATTTATCTGTGAAATTAATATACTAAAGTGGAAAGGGGGTTATTTCAATTAATTCAGATTAGGTATTAAACTTGGTGGAATTTTATCTGATAATTGACTGCTTTCCACTTTGCTTTTCTATTATAGAGCAGCAAAGTGGTAGAAACCCAAAATATTTATCCTTGAAAGGCAGAACAAAACAATTCCGTCCTTTTAAAACTTGTTTTGTTAAGATTAATTAAGCTTCTATGTAGTTATTTTCTGTACTTTATTGATTCAGGATTACTTGTACTCTAAATGTGTTGAATTATTTACACATCATAGGCAGCTAATGCTAATTCAGAACATACCCAGTGGGACCTCCTCCAGCCCTGAAATGCTAAATGTAATCTGGGGATCAGTAACATTCCATTCATAAAATGTGTCACCCACAGGTTAATGGAAATAAACAATAGGAAAGACAATGGGTGGATTATGCAAATCACTGAAAAGATTTAAGCAGGAGGAGGGGACTACAAGAACCCAATTTGTGTTTTATTTAAATGTGGATTAAGGTTTATGGTATACAAAATGATTCAAGCTACTTTGCTAATTTGCTAATGCTCCAGAAAGCATCAGAGCACAGGAAGAACGCTTATCTAAATAAATTGATTGTGGTTTTTTGTGTGTGAAGGGGAGAGTGATAGAGTATAGAGCCAAAATTAAGTCATGGAGATTTAACAGCAAATGAAATGAACACAGACTTCTAAGGAAACCTTTGACTAGATTTATACAGCACTTATATTTATCTGAAATTATGAAAGTTTCAGAAAACTAAAACCCAGTCCTAATAGAAATTAAGCATCTTTGTGAGACATCGATCTTTTTCCTTTAATAATTGCATCTTATAGGGAAACCTGTTTAGACTATGGTGAAAATAATAATTCACTGTGAATTAAGTCTTGGGAACTATGCCTACCTAATCCCTGACTTGGGGGGAAAGTGAGCTGACTTTCAAGTTATTTTAAGAGGTCTAGTCAGGGTAAGGTTGCAGTTTAAGGACGGGGAGATAGCCCTTAGCCTTGGATCTGCAGGCAGTGGGTGGGGAGCGTGAGAGGCGCTTAGCTAAACCTGGTTCTACAAAGCCAGGAGCTCTAGCAGGAAGGAGCCCCCCTGAAATTCTGTACAAAGTGGTAGTGACCTGAAGAGAGACCCCCTTTGTAAAGAGCAATAAGCCTGTCACATGGTATGGCAGAGAACTTCTGGGAGGTCCCAGTGTTACAGGACAAGGAGAACTCCTGAACCCCAAGCCTGCCTGCTCTAAATAGGTTCTGCTCTCCACCTCAAGACAAGACACAAGAGCTTTAATGGAAAGGAACTTTAATACAATGAGTATACAATACGGAAAAGACAATATAATTTCTAAATCAAACACCTGAAGTTACCCATCCCCTCATGGGTAAAAGTCCACCCAAAAGGGATTGTACCAAAGCAAGGCCTGAAAGCTGCCACAAGACTAAAGCACCTTCTGGCCGGGACCCATAGAAAAGGGTTAGAAATGGCCAGACAAGTCTGGGAGGAAAAGAGCAAAATCAAAATCAACACTGCCATGGTCACCTCCCCACGGGTCTTTCACCCACATCTGTTTTAACCAGCACAGGGTCAAGAAACAGGCACGGTTTCTTCATCACATGCTCGCTGCTCCAGGTGGCTTCCTCAGGTCTCCTGGCTCTTCATCCTGCTTCCTTCTTCTTCAGATCTTCTGCTCAGCGCCACCTTCCTTCTGGCTGGGAACCTGGAACTTCCCCTTATCTTGGGGACCACCCCATTATACCAGTACTGTCTGAGCTTCTAATGCTTATTGCAGAACCCCTGCCCACCCTGATGCTGATTGCAGAACACCTGCCCACCCTGATGCTGCTTGCAGAACACCTGCCCACCCTGATGCTGATTGCAGAACACCTGCCCTCCATTTACTGGTGTATGTCAGGGACTCATGGGCTAGAAGTGCTAGATTAACGACTGCTGGCAAAAGAGCTGCAGAAGGGTCATGTGCTTTGCATGGGGAGGTTGGAGAGCCTTGAGAGGCAAATCTCAGAAAAAGAGGGAGCTGGAACTTTGTCCTAGAAGTTGTACTGTGGTGTACTTCCATCTTAAACCACACATAAAGACTAGGAGCCCTGGGAATGGGAGCGAGTTTTAAGTATTTCTTTAATCTTTGGATCTTAGAGCTTCTTTGTTGGTTACTGTTTTCTTTCTGTATCTGCAGCATCAAAACTTAACCAGCTTTCTCATCAGTGGACACTCTCATTACTTAAGCTTCGGGATTATGTGAAGTTCTGTCACTGTTTTTTCCATTTGGTTTGAAGCTATTTTAAATGCATTTCCTTATTTTCCACCAACGCTAAATGAAAGAATTTTTCAGCTGTCCTGGATATTAACATTTGACTTTTTGTTCCTCTTTTGTTTTTAAAGATACTGTTTCCCCTTTGGACGACCTGAAGGTGCCCTAAAAGCCACACTTTCATTACTTGAAAGGGTATGTTTGAACAGTTTTTTAAATCCTATTGGCATTCTCAATTTCTGTGAATTTTAGTTACTGAAGAACACAACCTACCCTGCCTCACCCCTCCAGCCGTGTCTCTGAGTTCACAGCATTCGACAATTCTCACCTCTCCACATTCCCTGTATCTCCCTTCTTCCTCCTCAAAGCCGTTCTGAAGCCCCACCACAGCTAGTTTTTTGCTAGTTTTGTTAGTTTTTTCCCTAATAAAATGGCCTTTTTAAAGTTAAGTATGATTGTCTTTGGTTGGCATACTTCATGGCTTTTTTATCATCCTCCCTCTTTGTACTTCTACCTGTCATATTCCTCACACCTGTAAGATTTATCATTTAACAGTCACAAGTCTGTCATTCTTCCATCCTTCATTCATTTTAACATTTCTTTCAGTGCGTGTATCGCTTGATAGTGAAATGGTTCCTTTAACTGAATTCATGAATTGTAGAAACATCATTATCCCTCCAAAAATAAGTAGTAAAGTTTGAGATCCAATAAAAGTGATTGATTAATGAAAGTTTTATTCCCCACCCCTGTTAGTAGTAGGTTTAAAAGGGAAGTATCATTTTCATTTGTCCCTAAAACTCTTAATGAAATTGTTGGAATCCAAGAGTTTAGTAATATGAGCAACTGCGATTTCTTATCAGTGTGAAGAATTACTACACTCCTCTTTGGCTCATGATTTGATTACTTTTCAAATACTTGTTCTTGCCCATTTTCCTGCCAAATGAATTGCCATCACTTCTAAGTACCTCTGTGGAAGGTCAAAGGGAAAACACAATTTAGTAACTGGAAGACTTGGAGGTGGGGGTTACAATGGATGACTAAAATGAGACCTTTGAATTATAAATGATTTTCATCTATATAACCTGTGTTATCCTTGATACTGTGGATTATATGACAGAAATATGATCATAATAAAAAGGTATGCTATCGGAATTATTAGTAATAGTAAAAGCAGCAAGGAACCCAGGCTGTTCAAAGTATTCCTTCCACCCTATTTCCTGAGGTATAATGGATCAGAAAAAGTCCTGGAAGAGAACTTTATTTTTTGGAAAGGCATCCAGCCTAGGTAGCCAGCTCGCTGCTCTCTCTCCTGGTCTCCAGCATGAAGCACCCTGTACCCCGCAGCAGGGGAGAGTTAGGACTAAGAGGGGGTGCCCTGCTCTGACAGCTTGCAGAATGAACAGTGACTTTTATTCCAGCTACATTCATAAATCATGCCTCTTGCTGAATTGGATGAGATGGTTGTCCACTTTTGCATTTCCACATCTCTCTGCTTGTTGACATCTTTAAAAAAATGAAATCTACCTCTGGGGATTTTTGATACTTGAGATGACTTGGAAGAACATGGGGAGGAAACATGAAGCAAAAGTTGAGTCTCTCTTTCTGTACCTGCTCTTTAGAGAATTGAGAATGCGCTTTGCCAGAAAAGACAGTTCCACTCCCCCACTCCATATGAAGGGTCCAACTCCTAGATAATGTGATTTTTGAATGCTTGACTTACCTTTGCGTTCTAATTAGAACAGCTATTTCGATTTTAGTTTGTCACTGTGGAGAACACCTAATGGTAAAGTTTATGGGTCTGCATATGGAACAAAATGAATCATAAATTTTTGTGATTAAAAATACTAGTGCAGGTTAATCATTGTTTGTATTAACTATAAGAGAGGCTTTTCTGAGTACACAGAACCAAGTGTGCAATTGTAATTAAAGTGCCAAAGTATGTCAATGTGTTAAAGATTTCTAACATGAGAATATGAAGAATAACTGAATATGATAGGGAAAGACATTTTCATGTGTTAAAGTTTGCTGCTTTCTGAAGAAAACCCTGCCTAACAAAACGGAAATACATTGTCAAGGATCGCTAGTGCTTGCATGATTGAATAAATTTGCGATGATAAAATCCTTAGTGCATATGCAGCCTCAAAGCGTGACATGGATGCTTGCTGTTTTTTGAAGATTAAAAAAAAATGAATAGTAATTACTTACAAAACCCTTATCTCCTATGTGGACATATTTTGCCATAGACTTTATAATTTGAACAAAAGCCAAACAAGAAAAACTGCATTCAATATATGAAAGACTAGAATTTCACTAATTAATATCAACAAAAGTTACTATGAACAGTTTGTCACTAAGAAAGTTTTAAGAAAAATGATCAGTAAGCCATTGCAGAAGTACTTAAGAATATTTAGATCCCACCTACCTTTGTCATGTCCTCTTGCCATTAATTCTACTTTTTAAGGAAAAATCTGAAAATACACGTTAGGAGCCCAATAGAAAAGAATTTGTTATTCGTTGCTTTTTTTTTTATATGTATATATAATAGACAATTTCCCTATATTTTTACATTTGATCCTCCATTTCACCAGGACAAAGTTTTCTCCCTCTTCAGCAAATCACAGTAATTAAAGTTTAATTAGTAGAAAGAAGGACCATGTTTTGTATAGAGCTCTATACAAAACGACAACGAAGGTTGTTGTTAATGGAAATTTTGTTGTTTTTATATATATATATATATATATATATATATATATATATATATATATATATATATATAATGAATCAAAAGAGATAGATAGATCAAAAGATTTAGAGCTCATAAGACAAACTTTGTTTATGACTTGTCCATGGACTGTAATCCTCATCTGAAACAGCTGCTCTAATGGTGTCAGGGGTCCCTGGAGGAAAAGTGACAGTCACACTGAATGGTGGCTTGGCCTGTGGGAGGTTTTGATGTGCGTAAATGAGGCTTAGACAGGAGGGGCCAAGCTTGGAGGATTATGTTCCCAGTTGTGAAGTGCCATTCATTACTCCCTCCCAGTCACCTAAAATGCCTTCCTAGGAAGAGTCAGCTCTAGGACAATTTGGGTGATTATTTTGTGTGTTTATGCTATAAAACCAGCCTCCATGTCCATCTAGCTCCTTCTCTCTCCTTCTCCCACCCCCTCTAGGTACTGATGAAAGATATTGCCACTCCCATACCAGCAGAAGAGGTGAAAAAAGTGGTCAGAAAATGTCTCGAGAAAGCTGCCTTGATCAATTACACCAGACTCACAGAATATGCCAAAATAGAAGGTCAGTACAGTGAGCAAGTGCCGCCGTGGCCGGGAGAGCCAGTGATGCCTATTAACTGAATTTTCTGTGAGAAGTCCTTTCCTTCCCGAACAAACCTGTACCACGGCAAAGGGAAATGTCTCATTAAAATCTCAGCTGGTGAACTGAAGAGCTTTTTCCTATTCATTGCTTTAATATGCCTCCTGGGACTCTTCTTGAATGAAAGACCCAGGATTCCTGCTTAAGTTGTCCTTTCTTCTTATTTTGAGTTTTCGAGAAACCAAAAGGTGTTTTCATGGGTTGTATTTTTTGACGTTACTGTAAGTATGTCTAACATTTAAACGATGGGAAGTGTCTTCTTTCCTGATCAGTTACCTTGTGGTATTACATAATTTTATTTTCTGCTTGAAAGTGTCATTCAGAGAAGAAGACTTGTTGATTGCTGTGAGGGCTGCTATAAGCTGACAGAATTTTCTACAACTTTTAATTGCTTGTAGTATATTGATGCATTTGAAAGAGTAGTGAGAGGACTGTGCATCTTTTTCCCTACAGCTTTTCTTCATTAATAATACTGAGGTTTAAGATGTTTGGAACTAAATGAACTGGAATTTACAGCAAAGTCACAAAATCAGCTTTTATTTAGCAGTCCTTTGATTGATATATTATTAAGTGACTAAAATTTCGTGCTCTGAAAAAAAAAATTCTTGCTCTGATTTCCATAGAACTGCTTGTATAATCCATGTAGCATTAGCTTAGAGTTGGGGTGGAGGGGAATTTCACTGTTATATCTTAATGTAAAATCAGCCATTCGAAAAATGTTACTACCTCTTAATATGAAACTGTATACTTTATGATTTATAAATTGATTTATTAGTTGATTAAGCTAGTTTGATCAAAATTCAGTGAAAGAAAGCAGCTCATCATAATTGGATATGTTATATCCTTTCTTTCTCTCCAAATCTGATCAAGCTTTCTAACAAGCATGTGATAACCAGCCTCCTGAGTGATTAACAAAAAAGCCATCTCATCACTATGGCAACCAATATTATATCACAAGAGTAACAACATGAAACCACCTTAGTTACCAGTTTAACATCATTAATTATGATATCATGTTGTGTTAAAGCAATAGCAATGCATATTAGATCATTTTGGGAAACTAGAAGATAAACAGATTGGTTTTCACATTTTGAATACTCATTTCAAACAGTTTTCATATTTTGGGGCTACTGAGTGTTATGACCATGAATTGAAAAAACTGGTACAACAATAGGCATATTAAAAACCTTCGAAATCTGGCAAAGAGTAAAAATTTTGTGGACAGCCTAAATGAAGACAACTTTGTTGTATCCAAATAGTATGAATCAAGCCAAAAAACGTTGAGCCCTTTTGTTCCTGTCTAGCTGTTATTTTCTTTACCATTACCTTTTCTAAGAATCTTGAAATGGTATACAGTATGTGTCATTTTCTAGTCATGGAGCCCATTTTAATATGAACAAGTAAAGGACCTTTTTTCAGTCTCTACACACAGATGACTTCTTCCATTCATCATCAAGGCAAACCTGTTAATCCTGGTCACACAATGATGTGATCTAGATCACATGTAACTTCAGGTTGCATTAGACAGCAGGCTCTAAAGACCACATGGAGAGCAAACAGGGAGATTTCCCACCTCTTACTTTTCCCTCGCTTAACGCCAGTCTAGTGTGAGAGTATTCTAGAAAATAAATCCTAGAAACATGACACAAACTGCATGCCTATTAGATAAGAAAAACTTCCCTGGTTTTCAGCATCCCACTACCCCCCACCCACTTTTTTGTATCTTAAAAAGTCCTGCTTTTGCTTAACCAGGATCAGACTGAAAACAAAATTGAATTTCTGTTGCAAATAGGAAGCAGGCTCTCTTTCTTGGCATGAGCAATGTGGGTAGTTTCTTTTTCTCCTAAACCCTCTTTTCTTATGTTTTAGGCCCACCAGAGAAGGAAACAGGTAATTTACATCCATGCATGTGCATGCCTCGTTTCTGATGTGGTGTGTGATGATTTTGTGTTGATGAATAGTTCTTTCCTTTCCAGGACTCCTGTTCAGTCACTGTGACCAAGATACTGAAAACTACTTGCTCTTATCTAAACTATTGCTTATACATTTTGTAGGAACCATATAGGCCATAACCCTATAAACACTCAACAATATTTTATATTTGAATTCAAAGCAAAAAAAAAAAAAAGGAAACACTTTATGCTGTGTTAAATGCTGATCTTTTAAACATGGACACTAATCTTTGGAAGCTGTTGTCTATATTTGAAAGGTTCTTACAATTAGAGAACAAAACTACCGCTTTATCCCTCCCAAAAATAATGTGCTATTTAGAAGAAGCTAAGTTGTGGAGAGTGGCTGGGGGACAGGTGCTATTTAGCGGAAAGTAAGTAGTAATGTTAAGTATTAATCTTAGGAATGAGCAGGAGTATGAAACTCCAGTCTTGGGAAATCACTAGGAAAGAGCTTTTGTCTGCACTCTCAGAATTTTTTATATCGTACTACTATTTTCTTGTGCCACATATTTGATCAGTGTTGTGATCGGGGTAACTGCATGCACCCTTGTTGACTTGTAGTGTGCCTCTTCTAGAACCCCTTGCTGGGTTCTTTTAATCTTTTAATGTCTTCGATGAGGGACTCTATTTCTGTTTTTCTGCTATCTTTTCCATGACTTTGCCAGGGCGTGACCCCAGAAAGGACGTGGGCAGGGAAAAATACACTCAGGGCCAAGGAAGAGAAAGAACATGCCTACCATGGTGGTTACCAGGGCCTTTCAACAAAATGAATTAGAAAACAGGATGAACCTGACCCTCCTCAACTCTTCATGCCTGCCCATGCGTCCAGTCACCATCCTGTGCTCTTTGGAAAATTTTTTCAAACCCTCTTCTGGCATTGTATCCCCAGCAGCTCTTCTGTGGTGAAAATAGTTTCTGTGTAGTGTGCAGACAAGTTCAGTGGCTTGCTCACTAACATCACACAAATAAGTCAGCCAGCTGGGACTGAAGTCAGGTGCTGGAGCCCAGACCTGCAGAGGCTGTGCTGTTTCTACTATGAAATAGGAAGGGGTTCACAGTGAACCTCCAGGTTGGCTGCCAGAGCCCCTTCCCACACCGACACTCTGCTCCCATCAGAGAGCCAGGAGAGGAAGGTCACTGACCCCCGTAGTTCCTTCTGCCCACCCGTGTGTGTATCTTTACACCTCCATGCTGCTCAGCCTATGGGCCATTGACATGGGGAAAACCCTTTGATTAAACTTAAACACTTGCATAGAAAAGAAAAGAATTGAACCTCAGCAATTTAGGTGGGTTGAAGGGAAAGTTAATCTCACTTGAACAATGTATGGAAGTCACAGAGGTTTCTAAGAATGTATTTCTGTTCCATTCGGTTGCATTTGGCAGAACAGGGTGACTAGTCAGTGTTCAAAAGTGAGTCAGGATTAGAGTAGCAGTTGTATGTGTAGGTGCCCAGAGGTTGACCAGACTTCGAAGCCACCATCTTGCATATCACCAGCCTTTCCCCACTCCATGGCATTGAGGTGAGCTGTTGCATGCTGTCCAAGATGGTCATCACAGTGACCTCTTCTAATTGCCCCTTGCAGCATTCTTCAATTTATACTATTTCAGTAGTTTCTTAAACAACTTGGCAGCAAGATTTGTCTTTTATAGAAAAGGTAACTGACACTTTAGAAGTAGCTTGCAAAGGGCTAAGCTGTCGCTGTTAAAATTCAGTAGTTCTGGGCTCTACACATGCTCAGACACCCCACCTGTCCCACAAGCACCCTACCAACAAGTTTCACAATCTGGCGTTTGTTGACAAACAGCTCAATCCATCACAAAAATCAAAGGCTAATACTTAGGGTCATTTTCCCCGAGAATATGCTGTTTATTTAATCATAAGAGCCAGCCTCTGTCCCTTGCATTTTATATGTCTCCTGTCATTCCTTCTAACAATCCTTTCCAATAAATACAATTACCATTCCTTTTTCAGGAAGTTGTCAGAGGTGACTGTCTCTTGTCTGGTAGAAAGTGGGAGATTAGAACTCATGATCTATCCATAGAGCTATCTCCTCCTGTCTTCCTTCCTTCCATTTGTGGCAAGCTTGTATAGTCAAATTCATGCTCAGTTCAAATTCATGGGCATATGAGAAGCATCTGGGACAGCACAACCCACAGAACTGTAACAAGAGCCTATGTGTAACTTGAAATTTTCTAGTAGTCAATGTTAAAGAGGTAAAAAACAGGTGAAACTAAATTTAACATGCTCCATTTGACCCAGTACACCTAAACATAATGTTTTCAAATATACCCTATGTGCAAAATTATTATGAATTCTGAGTTATTTTACATTATTTCATATGGTGGCTTTGAAATCAAGGGACACTTCACTCTTGTGGCACATCCGAGTTAACAGATGTGTACCCCTGTTTCAAGGGCCCACCGACACATGGCTGGTGGCTGAAGTGAGCAGACAGCGTGGGTCTGCTCACGGGCAGTGAGACTCTGGACTGTGCATCTTGTCTACCTTTTTCCACACATCTTACTGTGTTGGGTGTTGAAAGTGATTCAGTTTAGCAAAGTTGCCCTGGCCCCAAGCATCTCCCCCAATTCCCTGGCTTTTCTCTACAACATATGTGGTCTCATGGACAACATAGTCTCTTCATCTTGCTACTGGTCCAGACTTAGGCTCCCAAGGAAGCACTTTTGTTCTTCAGTAACTGCTACAGCACCAGAGCTAAGAGAGGTACCTGGCACAATTTTGGGAGTTGGTAAATATTTATTGAATACATGATACACTTATGGCCACAGGGAATGATTAAACTATGTTTATAGCAGAGAGAATATCTTTAGGTTAACAGATTGGCTTGCAAAAGGTCATTCAAACCAATCATGGAATAATTTGTAGCATCAGAGCAAAAACTAAACATTTAAAATGATCAAAATGAGAAAAAATAAACCAGAATTTATCGCCTTTATGGGGGAGGGGGTTACAAGGAGGCACTAACTGGAACGTGGAAGTCGAGATTACAGATAACAGTGATATTAACAGTATCTAGTCATCTGACCTGCTTCAGTAGTTTCTGCAATTCATGATGCTCAGTTTTGACTCAGTTCTCTTCCATCCTTGGGAGTTCTTCAGATTCTCCATTAGCAGCACAAATTTGCAGAAAGGGATCCTACTACTTAGTGATAAATGGAATAAAACAGATTTATTCTAAAATAGAATATATTCTTTCTTTCTTGAGAAACATTTACATGTATTTCATGAAGACAGTTCATTATGGCAATGTCAAATTTTTAGAAAAATATCAGGAAGGAGAATGATAAAATACATATGACTGGACTGACTTTTTTTTAGGATGAATTAACAAATTTGTGATTTATACGGCTGCAAAATCAACTGGTCATCTTTGGTGTACTTTATAGCTGTACTTTTTTTTTTTTTTTTTGCAAGAGTCAGACTAGTTTTATTTACAAGGTAGAGTTTAAAATGATACTGATACTGATACTTCATTTTTGGACTGTGTGGTTTTTACAATCATATGCCTTACTGATGGAACTTATTTGTAAGAAAAATATATTATTTTTTAAAGAAACATCAATTTGTTCTTCAAGGAATTGTAGGCAATTTCTTATGGCAGTCATCCAGCTATAGACAATTACTGCTGTCTCCTGAAAACAATATTATCATATTGTCACTTACGAGCAAAGAGGGGAGACTACTCCTGAGAGCTCGCCTTGACCTGCGGGCTTTTGTAGAGTTGGTACCTAGGCTTTTTGTGAATGTATAAATGTGGAGGTGCTCTCCACAAAAGGTAGCATGGAGTGAACAGGCTGAGTCTTTGTGCAGTGAGAAGCTGCCTGGCCTTCTGGTTGCCAGGTTCCCAGCTCTACCCCCAGGCTCTCATTTTCTAAGTCTCAGTTGAGCAGGCTAGAGATGGCTTCCCAGGGGGCCTTGCTGCTTACTTTCTTTGAGAGGAGAAGTCGCACTGTGGCAGTCCTTACGTCATTAGGATGTGTTTGCCATCTGGGTGGCATTTTAATTTAGCACTCCATTGTCAGAGTGTAGTGGTAAATAATAAATAAATAAAGCTGTTCAGCTTCAGGACATGTGTGTTCAGAAACAGTCCATAAAACACTGCCTCGCTGATTCGTCAGTGAATATTTTCTTGCTGATGTTTCTAGGATTGCATTACAGTTTTCTCTCAAAAATGTTTTGTGTTTCCTTATACATTTTAAGTTTTTGGAGCATTCCATGTGATCCTGAATTCAGGTCATTAATATCTAAAGAGTAGACCAAAAATCTTGGTTCCCATAAGCAGTGGCAACATTTTGCAAGAGGTACTTTATGTATCAAAAAGAAACAGAATCCTCAGCCTAGAAATAATATAGCTGATGACAGGGGTTTGTCTGACTTTTTTGGACAGTGTGGCTTGGATGCTGGCCTGAAACTTAACCTTTGTGACCATTTCTGCCTCTGATCAACTAGGGACAAATTAACACAATTCCCTAGCTCTAAATCAAAAAGAACAATTTATTGTCTTTTTCTTTATAGAGTACTTGAAAAGCTAATAAAAATGTGTAGAGGTTTCAGTGTGTAAAGCAATATGGCACATATAGCAAAAACTCACTATTGGGACTCACTGGCTCAGTATCTGGGATCACTTAGATAAATACCAACTAAAATTTATTTTTACACTTACATAGAATGAAAATCTGGGTATGTTTCAGATGGTCGATGAGGTATTTATGCTATCAGAAAAAAAATATTCTGATAGCAGGCTCTCCCGGGTTGTACAATGGGTTAAAGCAACGCTCTATGAAGCTCTCAGAAGCCACTGTAGCATGAGTTCAATACCCGGCCAAGGAGCTGACCCACATGATGCGGCAGACCTCTCCTGACCCGCCCACTGCTCCCCTCAGCAGTGCATTTCATTACATCTGCCTGTTCTGCTC